TATATCATTTACATAGGTTTCAGAAACAGAAAGTTAGTTTAGGATAGTAAAGTCCAAACAAGACTGCCATTTTTGAAGAGTGACATATTTATATATGTTCAGAAAGTTAGACATTTATGCCAAAAGCAGATCGAGTGAGTGAGAGTGTGAGAGTGAGAGAGAGAGAGAGAGAGAGAGAGAGAGAGAGAGAGAGAGAGAGAGAGAGAGAGAGAGTCATTTGAAGCTTCTTAAAGTATAGTATATCTTGATATTTGAGGAAATTTATCTAGAAGTCACCTAAAATTACTCAATGTACAGTGTGCTGCATCTGTTGCATCATATGTTAACAGTGAACTGATATGGTGTTATGATTAATTGAATGATTTACTGTTTTTAATGTTCTGAAAATTTGGTGTGGCGCAGACACCTTCATATCTATCTTCGAGAAGAGCGTTTTCTTCGCTCCAAAAGAATGGACCGCCCAAGCCTGATATAGGCAGCACTGCCCCTAAAACGCAGAATCGTTTCCCGAAAGTTCTCGTCGGAGGCTTAATATTGACTCCTTTTGTTGTGGCTGCTTACTATTTCGAAGCTATTGAAAAGTATCTTGTCAAAGACCAGCAAAGCATCAGTGAATACACCAAGGCTCAGATTTCTGATACGATCACACAGAAGTCTACAGAACAGCAAAATTCTCACAATCAAGCTAGTGAATTAAGTCAACCCATTGCTGATAACAGCTCAAAGGAATCGGATGTGTCGAGGTTTGATGCAAATGAGGTTAAGCAAGATTTTGAAACGCATCCAATTGCCGATAACAGCTCAAAGGAATCAGATGTATCAAGTTTTGATGCAAGCCATGTCAAGCAAGACTCCGAAACACATCCAGATCTTAATGTTTCAGATGATTTAATCAGAACTGAACAAGATAAAAGTTTCCAGACAAAAGATACGGCTGTTCAGACACCAGAAAATGTTGATCATGTTCAAGGGAGTGATATGGCTAATGTTTCTCAAAGCAGCGTCTCATCACATGATGTAACTAGTAAACCTGATGAGGAGCAGAACAAGGTTATCGAAGTCGCACCAAATTTCACATCAGCAGAGAAAGCTCTTGCAGAAGTTGAGATCAAGTCTCTTCCGACGGAGCAAACCACCACTCAAGACATGCAAGAGGTAATACAAGGTTTCTGTAGAATGGGCAAATTTCTATAACTCTATTTGTAGTCCCTTATTATTCGGGCAAATCATTCACAGTTTCTTGTGAAGCAACTTCTGGTAGGTTGTTCAGGATGACGGAACACAAACATCTAGTTCCCTCCTTGACGATTACCATTTAAAAGACAACTCTGAAGAATCTGCTACATCTTCATCCAACATAGTTAAGGTAGGTGTATATATATATGTGTATATATATATACACACACACATATGAATCATATTATTTTACAGAAGAATGATCTCATATATGTCTTATTGTTTATTTCTGAAATTGAAGGATATAAGTCCAGCAGTAGAGGATGTACATGATGGTTACATAAACAAGGATGGGAAATTGGTTCTTGACTTCTTGCAAGCCATTCATGCTGCTGAGGAAAGACAAGCAGAGTTGGATGCTCACTTTTTTGCTGAAGAGAAGAGAGCAATGAAGGTCAGAAGACAGTTTGTATAAGCAAAAGTCTGGCTCAATCATCGATTGAATTTGTCACCTTTTCCTTTGTGTCATGATTGATAGAATGATTTTTTTTCAAGATACTATCATATAGAGTTGTATATCATCTTTATTAGTTTCTGCTAACATAGTTATCAACTCATCAGGACAAGTATGAAAAAGAACTCAAGGATGCAAGGGTCAGGGAACTCATGTATGCTGAGAGAGAAGCCATTCTGGATAAGGTTTAAAACAACTCCTTTCTTTTGCATGTGGTGCCTTTGTTGTTACTTAGTGTACCTAATGTACGTGAAATCAAGGGATTTCACATTAGTAATTTAGCTGAGTAACTTTAGGAAGTAAATTTATATTTTAGGTACTGGAATACCTGCGGACAACCCGAAGAAGTTGGGGGCTTTCAATTGTTTTGGAGGGATAAATATTTATTTTGTCGCTGATCTTATTATTGTTTGAAATGTTTTCAGGAATTATCTAAAGAAAGAGTTAAATCAGCTGCTACTCTCAAATCTCTTCAAGAAAAATTAGAGGAGAAACTCTACACAGAACTCGAGCAGAAGGTTCCAATATGTCATAAAAGCTGTTATTTTCTCAATGTTATTCATTTATCTGTGTTGTCAGACTGATGTAAATAATGGAGTTTCTATCTGCAGGAAATGGAAGTGGAACAAAAACTAAAGCAAATGCGTGATATAGCTAAAGCCGAATTGGCTGCAGCAATTGCAAGTGAGAAGGCTTCCCAGATTGAGAAAATGGCTGAAGCGAATCTTCATGTATGATATAACTGATGTTTGCTTCATCTTATAGTTTCTGTTAAACCCAATTACTTTCATCATTGTCTCAATTTGGTTGGATTAAAAAAAATAGAATTTACTCAGAGTTATATCAGAATCCTTTTTATAGACAAAGTGAATGAAGTAATAATCTGATGGAATTGAAGGAGTTAACTTCAAATGTGCAGATGTTGTTTACTATTAAGGCAATAGATTTGTTAATGAAAAGGTAAAGGAAAATATTACTGTATCCACATTGAATTTTCTCTGTAATATAGAAAATCTTAAAATAAAATCTTCATACGTGGTTGAAATACATGGATGATGGGATAGTAGTGAGAAATCCGTTGATTATTATCATACTTACATCCTGATTTTCTCTCCTTTTCATTTATTTGTCTTCTTTACTAATTACGAAATGCTCATTAATAACCCCCCCCCCCCCCCCCATTTGGAAACAAAGAAAGAAAAAACTAGATGCCTCTTTATTTTTACAATCCATACAAGCCCCTGAAGAAAAAGTGACCTTCATGATATTTTTTCCGGGTGTCTTCAGTTATTCTGGATTTTGTGTTTATACTCCCTTCTCTTGATTCTTGGCAGATACATGCTTTGTGCATGGCATTTTATGCACGATCTGAAGAAGCTCGCCAGAGTCACTCTGTCCACAAGCTTGCCCTGGTAACCTCTCGACTACCATGTTAACTGCTATTGCATGCTCCCCAAGATGCCACCCTGAAATTATATGCTCCCCGTCAATCTTAGTTTCGTACTTAATATGCTGAACAATTATTTTCATAGCCGAGAATGGATCTGGCTTGCACATAGCTCTTTGTTCATTGATTGAGAATGGTAGCTAGAAAATTGGATAATTTCCTTAGTTTGTTTTGTTATCATTGATTCTATAACCCCAGTGTCATGTCTCCTATCTCTTCCCGCTTCTTGTATTTCTTTTTGAACAATGGTTTTGATTCTTTTATGTCTCCAAAGTCAAATTTCACAATATTTGGATTTGGCTACATTAAGAATTGGTTAATAAGAATTTAGATTTGTTCTGATATGATTAACTATTTTTTTTTACCACAATGTATTCTTGGTTGGCTTGTCTCTGCTTTCGGTAACCATTTAAGAGAGTTTATATCTAATATATGGGTTTTAACTCCCATATACAAATAATCTGTGATGCCTTCTTTATTAATTTGTTAGAAGCTTCAGCATGTTCTGAAGGTCTAGAGACTGCCACACACATTTATGATTCATTTGCCGTGAAATATGTAGTTTGTTTGACAGGGAGCTATCTTCTAATCATTCATGTGTTGTAGGGAGCATTATCATTGGAAGATGCACTATCCAAAGGGCTGCCAATAAAAAAGGAAATAGAGGCTCTCCATGCTCATCTTGAAGGCATTGACAACGACTCGTTTATAGCTCTGGTTCTATCTTCGCTCCCTGAAGAAACCCAAAAGTATGGAACAGATTCTGTATCCCAATTGAATCACAAGGCAAGTTACATAATTCTCTGCTACTTTGACATTTTGAGTCTTAACTTTTTTTTTTCCTGTTTAAATTTTGGATGAGGAATTTCAGTTTCAAAATGATTTTTGACAAGCCAATTTCACCTGTTCACCTTATTTTCTTGACAAAGATGAAAGTGTTTTGACAAGCTTATGTAATAAGCTTATGCTGTTATATTTTTAATTGCTACTTTTGGTTTTAAAATTTGCTGGACTTAGCTTTATGAAATCATTGCCACACACAGACTTTGTTAAGGGTAAACTACTAATTCCAATACATACTTGTCAAATATCCTGCAGATCCCCGAACATTTGGAATAATAAGTTTGTTACATCTGATAAGTTGTGCTAAAACATAACAGGGTTAGACTATTAACTATTGAAACCACATTCTGTGGTTAATATTATCAGTGGTACAAGCTGCTACTTTGTTGGTCTCGTGCAAAGCTTGGATTTAGTTACTCTTGGGAAAGTAGAGTCAACTGTATCTAGTCGTTTCAATTTTAATCTCGTAGACAGTTTTTTTTAAAAAAAATTAGAGGCTTCATTGTGCTCCATTTTCCTATGCCGAGGGACAATGTCCATTAGGTGTTTAAATTCTGTATTTATGGGTTATAGGTCAGACGTTTGTGGAAGATCATCGCCTTCATCATTTACTGACCTCATTGTGTTTAGATGCTTATATTCATCACCAAAAAAGAGTTGATTGCAAAAAAGTTGGAAGAAACAAGTTGTGTGGAATCAACCGAATAAGTTGCAAAGACAAGTGGGGTACATTCCCTTTTCAATACCTGAAAAAGCAGCAGTAACTTGCACATGAAAGCATAAAATAAACACGTTGAGATTCTGTTTCGGTTCGGAGGTGGGAAAGTGATAATTCTGGAAAATATTTAGAACCAAGGCAAATTTAGCTCGGGAGTATTTGAACTTCTTAGAAGTTTTATCTGGTTTCATTATTCCAATACTGCGCGTTATGAGTTACGTTTGGAGATAAATCATCTGTGCTGTGACCTGTTTATATCTGTTCATAGACATTTAATTTTTTTTATCTTTTTTGCATATTTGCAGTTTGATACCTTGAAGGGAACACTGAGGCACTTCAGTCTACTTCCACCAGGTGGTGGTGGGATATTGTCACATTCATTGGCTCACGTTGCTTCTTTGTTAAAGGTACACATTCTCTCTCTACGCCCCTCGGTATTTAAAATTAGTTTGTAAAAATAACTTGGGTTGCATTGTGATGGAAGTATTTCAAAATTAATAATAACAAATACATTGTTGGATTGATTCATTTGACACTTGATTTCAAATCCTTAGCTCCCATTTTCAACCCAAATGAATTCGAGTAGTGATTTTACAACATTTTCATTATAATCTTTATCGATCACTCGATTTATCAGGTCAAGGAGGTGGATGAATCAGGTGATGGAATCGAGTCTCTGATAAATAGAGTCGAGAACTTGTTAGCACAGGGAAAGCTATGTGAAGCTGCAGATACACTCGAAAAGGGGGTCAAAGACAGCCAAGCAGCAGAAGTTGTTCAAGAATGGGTTAATCGAGCAAGAAACCGAGCTATCACAGAGCAAGCTTTGACCGTTTTGCAATCCTACGCCACTCTATCAGCCTAATACAAGCGGTGATTAAATATCAACACATTTGACTCTAATTTTTGTTAAAAAGATTTTATCGGGATTTTTTTTGGGCATGAAGAAGAATCTCACGGTTTCTGAAAGCAACGGCAGCATTTTTTTCTTTCTCTCTTCTATGGCTGTCCCGTTGTTTACAGTGATGCAAATAAATTTCGTTTTATTTTTTCCTTTCAAAAGCCGTTTACATGGCTGGTTTTAGGACAAAAAAATGAAACAACTGACTGTTAAGTTCAGTTTGGTTCTGATTTTCATAATCCCCATGAGGAGAAACACTTGATTTTGATATTTGATATATGACGAAATGCCTATGATGGTAGATACAGTAGAACATCGATAAATTAATAATTTTGTTTAAATAATAATATCTTCTGGTCCCGACTTGGTGAGAATGTATTTAATGATTAATTAGATAAATTAATATTTTGCGAAATTAATAGAATTTCTCTAATCCCGACTCTGTTAATTTATATAGGTTTCACTCGTAGGTATAAGTCGTTCGACCCATAACGTATTGTCAAATAATTCGAACTCGAATCATCTAACTCCGCACTCGCTCTAACAAATATATAGTGCATAACATGAAATTTAAACGTATGTAACACATTTCACTATTTCAAAACTAATTAAAAGTGTCCCGCAAGGGATGACCTAGCAGCTCGAATCCCATTGCCAACAGTCGCATTGCCAGAATTTTGTCACACATAGTTAGTCCAGTGTGATTTACGTCGTCTCTCGTATGGTTTCGTATCTTTTTCATTCACAAGTGTTCATATTTGGTTAGCATCCCCAAAGAGAGACACGTATTACTTCATCTACGAATACGTGGGGTCGACTCAATTTTATGATCTCTTTCTTCTTTTGAATGTTTTTGATGCAATCATGCATACCAAGAAACATGATGAAAATTGTAATTATACATGGGATTAGGGCTCTTGAGCTACCAAAAGTTACAAGTTTCATTTTGTGCTGATAATTAAGTTGTATTTGCAGTTTTGCTTGCACGTTTATATAATGGGCAATGCTTTTCATCTAAGCAACTCCATGGTTGGTTATACATTATTCACATTTAGGACATACTAATTATGGATCACCATCTTCATAATTAACCTCTTCTACAAAGTCGTTTTTTCTTTTCTATATCCGGTAAAATATATCGAGTAGTATATATATATATATATATATATATATATATATATATATATATATATATATATATATATATATATATATACCATCGTAAATTTGCATCCAATAACATGTAAACTGTTAATTTATATGCCTATAGAATCAATCTTATTTAGTTGTAACAGTTTACTTGTTGTTATGATACAGTAGTATGTTGCAACTATAACTCTTGTGTAGGGTTATTTCTATGCTACACCCGGTGAAGGTTACACCGCGTGATTTTTTACCGTTGATCTACACACACCAATGTGGGTGTGTGTGTGTTTGTGTGTATATGAATGGTAAAGATCTACCCGGTGTATTTCACCCGATGTAGCATAGTATAAGCCCTTGTGTAGAGACACATATTATAACTATACTAAAAGCAGAATAAATAATACAAGAAATTAATGTGCCTCAGACATAAAAGTGACATACATTCACGAGGACCTACCAACAAGATCTCACTAGTTTGGATTTACAGTGTAAATTAATAGGACTTATTAAAATATAAGACTACCTCTTTAAATCCTATGTTGTTCCTATACATAACTCGAACATCTTGTTTTTTCAAGCAACTCATCTACCCGCATTTCCTTGAACTTTCTCGCACAATAGGAACGAGGGCACAATACTGCTTCACATAATGCTGTAGCAAAGTCCGATTACTTTGACAAGTTTTTGTTCAATAAAAACGAATAGGTTGTTCACTGGTTTGTTGGTTTATATTGGCACGAGCTAAACTCTTCCAAACCTTTTTTAGAACCTAAAGAAATCGACCATTAGAAAACACAATCCTACACGACTTCTACAATTCTACAACTAATTTAGATAAGTACAAATATAATAAATCTAGAACAATTACATGAAAACATAATAAAGTCACAAGTAATTTACTGAGCTATACAAAATATAGACTTAAATAATTTTCCAAAATAATAGCATAGAAATAAATATTTTTTAATGTTTATCTCATATCTTCACAGATTTTCTCAAGACTCCTCGTTAGAAATCCGGCGCCAACATAAACATCGCATATGACTTGCCCAATATAATTTACACCTCTTGTATCATTTACGAGCTCTTGCACATGAGTGCGGCATATACATATTGTTGGATACAGATAATATATACATACGATTAGATATGATTCAATAAAGTATATCGAATCTATGTACATAACAAAATTCGTTTACACCAACCCTCATTAGGAGAGTTGGTACCTAGCCCTTACCAATAGGGTAACGGTCTAGGGTTCGAGTCCCCCCCTCCCCTACTTCCCTTTGTAATGGACTTGAATTTACTCAAAAAAAAAAAAAACAAAATTCGTTTACAATTAGAAAAAAAAAAAAACCCAACAATTAATATAGTAGTTAATCACATGACTTTTAAATTGGGAAGACTCATATTACTCATGGTATTGATTTGATAGTCTTCACAAACATACTAGACTCTATTTGACTTTCCCTAATCTTAGGTTGACCATTGTAGGTTAATTAATTATAGATCTTTATGGTTGGAATTAAATTCAATTAAATTAAATTAATTTTTAATTAAGTAATTAGCCTTACTTTCCTTTTTCGGTGCAAAGTTCCGGACACCCATCCCTGATCTCTCTCTCTCTCTCTCTCTCTCTCTCTCTCTTCTTCCTGAAGCTACTTTCTCTCTCTTCATTCACCGGCGCAGTTTATCTCTCTCTCTCTCTCTCTCTCTCTCTCTCTCTCTCTCTCTCTCTCTCTAGTCTCTCCGAAGACATAAGCATTGGCTTTGTCTCTTTATCTCTTTTAATTCCATTTGATAAGTACCAACTTAAAGTAGAGTACATATACATACACCGATATAGAGACTTCCACTGGGGTACTTGAGCTTTCCATTTACTCCGATCTCCTTCTGTTCATGGAGATTCGGTTAATTTTGCTGGGTTTGTTGTTTGTTGTGTGCGCTAAGGGTGGATTTGTGGAGCCGATTGTGTATTCTGCGAGAGTGGTACATAGATTCTCGGATGAGGCTAGGGCGCATAGGGTTTTTAGGGATTTGAAGAATGGAGCTCAGGTAGCTGGTGGTGGTGGTGGTCTTGGTTTTTGGCCGGAGCGGCGGAGCTTTGAATTTTACCGGCGGTTGTTGAGCAGCGATGTGCAGCGGCAGACGCTTAAGCTGAACCCTCAGTTCCAATTTCTCTACCCTTCTGAGGGCAGCGCCACAATTCCGCTTGGAAATGACTTCGGATGGTAGTAATCTAATCTAATCTCTCTCTCTCTCTCTCTCTCTCTCTCTCTCTCTCTCTCTCTCTCTCTCTCTCTCTCTCTCTCTCTCTCTCTCTCTCTCTCCATGTGATTTGATGGGAAACTCTAGTGTAACCTGTCAATGATTCTTTAGTAACCCTAATTTCCTGTTTAATTTTTCGAACTTTGTTCTATTAAATTGTTGAACATAAAATTGAATTATCGAAAAGCAACTGATATTTTGAACTGTAAAATCGATAGAATTCGCTGGCCTGCAATTTATTCATACGAACTTACTGCATAGATAAACCCACTGTTTTGCTGAAAGTTCATCAAATTATGCAATCAAAAGAAACATCGTCTGCTCATGAACATGCCAAATGGGCATCTCGGTTATGTCACGTTGCCTTTGATCGAACAATGTAATATTGCTAAAGGGTTACTTTCCTTCGGTAATCAAATCTAGTTCCGATTTGACGGCATACCAAATGCAATTTCTTCATGAATAAGGCATGTGTACCTCTCTCATTTTCTTTACGTCACGTCAAACGTAATACTAAATATAGCATAAATATTTATGATTCCGATTTTTTCTGTGCCTATCATGAATAATAGCAAATGGTGCATTCATTTTAGCCACTAGGCACAACGTTGATAGTAATTACGAGAAGTCTGCGGATTGAAAGAAACCTGATTCTGTCTGTAATCTGTATATATTCGTGATTTTTGTAAGTCTTTGTTTCGATGTTAAGGCTAGTGGCACTAATTTTATTTCAAACAGGCTACATTACATGTGGATCGACATAGCTACACCGAAAGCATCTTTTCTTGTGGCATTGGATGCTGGAAGTGATCTATTTTGGGTTCCCTGTGATTGTGTTCAATGTGCACCTTTGTCTTCCAGTTATTACAGCAGCCTGGTATGCAGCCATTTTATCCAATGATCTGATTTTTTTTTTGAATAAAAATAAATAAAATCAAAGTGGTTTGGTTCTTTGCATTTCTGTTTCCATGTTGCCGCATGTTGTGTTATTTCGTTGAACCCGTGTAATTTTGGGAGAAACTATTTTTGCCGTTATATGTAAATTGACGGGTTTATGCTTAATTTCAGTTTCAACCTCATTCTTGGTAGAAAGAATTTGATTTTTCTTACACGAGCTTTTCAAACTCAAATGTTTTGCATTTTGCAGAATTTCTTGTTAGGGATAAAACATTTTCTTTGTTTCGCAATGGGGTCTGTATGTCAGTAACTATGAAAAGCTAATATATGTGCCATGTTTTTACATTTTTGGTAAATCTCGGAGATCATTTGAAGCTTTAAATGCTTAAATTTAGTGGGGTTTTCAGGTGAATTGCTTAGAGCTTTGTATCGTTTTATGATAAACTTTTATGCATTTACGGGACAACTATAAATTTCTAATTAATTAGAAACATGTTTATCACTTATTTTCAAACAATTGATTTTCAGGTGCTCCCTCGTTTTTTGGGGCATCTATTATGCAGGATAAAGATCTCAACGAGTACAGCCCTTCTACCTCCAGCACAAGCAAGTCTCTTTCTTGCAGCCATCACCTATGTGAACTAGGCCTAAGTTGTCCAAATCCTAAACAACAATGTCCCTACACCATTAACTACTACTCAGACGATACCTCAACGTCCGGTTTTCTAGTCGAAGACGTTCTTCATCTCGTGCCAGGTCATCATTCTGATGCATCCAACAAATCCGTAAAAGCTCCAGTAATTATCGGGTTTGTTATTTTTTTTTTATTATTACTATTAATTTTTTTTAAATGCCAAGAACTACCATAATGGAATATTTTTCTATTTTAGATGTGGTAGTAAACAAACTGGTGGTTACTTGAATGGAGTTGCGCCCGATGGTCTTTTGGGTCTTGGACTTGGAGAAATTTCTGTGCCGAGTTTTCTCGCGAAAGCTGGTTATATTAAGAACTCGTTTTCGTTATGTTTTAATGAAGATGATTCTGGGAGGCTATTCTTTGGTGACCAGGGAATAGCTGAACAACAAACTACGCCGTTTTTGCCCCTGGACGGCAAAAAGTAAACATTTAATTTCTAATGATTAACTGCTACATTTTATTTTTGGTCTGTGCATTGAAAGATAGGTATGGTTGATTCATTTGTTGCAGTTTAACTTATATTGTTGGAGTGGATGAGTGCTGCGTTGGGAGTTCTTGTCTTGATAAAACGAGCTTCAAAATTCTGGTTGATAGTGGGACTTCGTTCACGTTTCTTCCAGATCAAGTATATGGAAAAGTGGTGGACGAGGTATATTATTTTCCTCGTTCGTACTATATCTGCTGTAGAAATAGTGAATTTGTTTTGAGTTACTGTTTTAATTACAGTTTGACAGACAAGTAAATGCTTCGAAATCTATGTTTCAAGGATACCCATGGCAATATTGCTACAAGTCCAGGTATGTGTTCTTTTTGGCTGTGTTTCTAAATAGGGGTGAAAATTGGAACAGATATCCAACTTTTACCAATTCCAATCCAAAATTTTCCGATTTTGGAACAATATTTTTCATTTGAAACCAGAAATTACAATTGCCGGTTTTCCCGAATTTTCCAATTATGAAACAATATTTTTCATTTGATCCGAAAATTTCGATTGCTGAATTTTATGATTGCCGAATTTTCCGAATTTTTTTAATGGAATTGGAATATATACGAGACTGTGATTTCCGATCCGATTTTGATTTCTAAAAATAATTCCGAAAATTCTAATTTGTTGTCGAAAATTACCCTTATAACATCGAAATTACTATGTACTCCCTCCTTCCCATTTTATTTGTCTTTCTAGAGAATTTTTTTAATTTCAAAATAATTGTCACCTCAGGATTCCAATGAAGTATTTATTGTGCTTTTCTCAATTATGCCCTTACTATTCTTAAGAGAATTAATGGTCAAGAATTTATGAAAGTGTTTTTTTAGTCATTTTATTATGATTTTTCTAGAATCCATGCACATTTATTAGTTTTCTTAATATGTATGAATTAGCATAAAACGACAATAAAAATGGGAAGGTGGGAGTATTTTATTTACTAAAATTGGTCCAAATTCCGGATTCATATCCAAAAGTTTTCGATTTTGGAACAAGATTTTCCGTTCCAATTCAATTTTCAAAATTCCGATTTCCAATTTCTTCAAATTTTCCGAACGTAATCGGAATTACTTTTTCACTTCCCAAAAAAATCAATTATTTTTCCAAAAGTGCTACTTCCAATCCGATTTTCACCCCTAATTTAAACCAATTGATCATTTTATTTAATTGCTTTAATTAATTCTTTTATGGTTAACAGTTCTCATGGAGTGCCTAAGATTCCGTCTTTGACTCTTAAGTTTGGAGCATCCAACACTTTTGTGGTCAGCAATCCTGTTTTTGTCATCTACGGCACTCAGGTTTGTGATTTTAACCCCTACTTTTGTTTCATAAAGGCACTATTATTTTATATCTCGTTTGTGGTTTATTTTAATGCTTTTCGTGCCTCAGAATTACGTGAAGTTTCGATTTTAAAGTAATCGCTTCCAAAAAAACTTTACTAAGCTATGGTATTTGAACGGCGAGTGCTTGATGTTCTAAATATTTGAAGAGAAGACAAAAAAATATCAGAATTTCGAAAGGCTCGTCTTCTTTTTCACTTATCAACGGCATCTTGTTGAAGATTCCGTTTCCCATTTGTATTAATTTTGTGAAAATCGACTTTTAAAATAATTGAAATGCTCATTCTTCATCATTAAAATGAGATTGTATTGGAGAATAGTTTGCCTGTTTGAGATTGAGTCATAATCTGTGGCATTGAATTCAATTATACGAGATGATGAATCAATACGTGTTTTCTTGCATGTTTTTACGTGTAAGATGAAATTTCCGATGCAAAAATTCGAAACCTATTAATAGTGACATTTGTGTACAGGGTGCTGTTGGATTTTGTTTAGCAATTCAGCCCACTGACGGAGACGTTGGCACGATTGGACGTAAGTACATATTAGCATTTAATTGAATTTCTAACTTTTTAACGAGCAGCCACGAATTCTATGCCCTTCATAAATATATATATATATATATATATATATATATATATATATATATACATTTAAACGCAAATTTCAATATATCAGCATTGACAGAATGCTCTGTTTTTCTTGTCTTGTGCGTAAAAAAAAAACTAATCTTTTATGATTTTTTATTGCAGAGAATTTCATGACGGGATACAAAATCGTATTCGATAGAGAAAATTTCAAGCTGGGCTGGTCGCGTTCAAATTGTCAGTATCCGAGTCACTAAATACTCTGCCTTACTGAGCTAAATACACGCACAAGCACACACACCACACGCACATAAGTATACTTATATGTATTTATACATACACAAATATAAATATTTGTGAATTATTTTCAGGTCAAGAAGAGCCATTAAATCCATCGGCAAACGGAAATTCACCAAATTCACTGCCGACGACAGAGCAGCAGAGTTCGCCAAACGGTCATGCAGTCGCTCCTGCAGTTGCCGGAAGGACGCCTTCCAAATCCTCAGCCAAATGCCGCCTCTCGTTTTTGGCGAACTCTTTCTTGTTACTGCTCACGGTGCACATCTCTTTTATTAATTAAAAATCTTATCCTTCCGTTTAGAGGTAAATTTCCATTATCTAGTTTTTTTTTTTTTTTTTTTTTTTTTTTTCTTTTTTTTTTATTGTAGTCTCGGCCATTTATTTTTGTTTTTCGCATGCATTTACCGGTCACCATCCTTTCTGTTTTTTTTAGGCTACGAGTTAGGGTGGTGTGTGATAATACATAGAGTTCTATGTTGTATGTAATCGTAATTATCTCCTCGACTCGTTTCATAGGGACATATGTTATATTCCTCAATTTTGTAATGTACAAATATATTATACATTTTTATGCATTTTCGCGAGGGCGACTTATCGCAATATTTATTTACGAACCCTTGAGTAGCTAGGCGGAGCAAAGCAGCCAACGTAATGCTACGGGGGGCCATGGCCCCCTTTGTTTATGCTTGACTAGGACTGAGTAGTAATTAAATAAATGTAGGTATTTTTTATTTGTGTTGCAAATTAAGGAGATTCTTGTTTACCTAACTAGCTTTCTTTTGTAGCAGATGTATTCTCAATTAAGGAAGCACTATTATTTTTTTATGTTTTATTTGTGCCCCCCATGCTTTTATTAATTTGCTATTATTATTATAAATATATTTGATTGAGCATATTAGTCCAAAATGACAGCCTGGTTTCTCATGTTGTCTTGTAACTGGAACATTTTCTTGTGACGCCTGATGTTGGTACTATTATATATTAAGATTCAGGGTAATTGGCACTTTGCCCCCCGAACTATAGTGGCTTTTGCACATTACCCCCTGAACTAATTTTTTTACAAAATTTCACTTCAACTCATGAAACGCTTGCACGGTCTAAATTGGCGGTTTCTATTCAATTTTCACCGGAATAACACCCCATGCGCACACGTGTGATTGAATTGACGACTGTACCCTCCTAAATCTCACGTGCAACGCATTTAGGAGTGATTCCGGTGAAAATTGAGCAAAATTTGCAGGTGAAATATTGTAAAAAGATTTAGTCCAAGGGTAACGTGCAAAAGCCACTATAGTTTGGGGGCAAAGTGCCAATTATCCTAAGATTTAAGGTCATGCAATCTTTTATTATTAAGAGTTAAAGAATTGTGATTTTCATAATAGTAAATAAATACATTAATTAATTTTGTAAGAATGAATTGGTTATGTAATAGATTATTAATTAGTTTTCTTTATTTTGAGGGGTTTTGGGCGGTGTGGTGAAGTACAAGTGAAGACAAATGAGGAAAAGTAAAGGCATTATTATTCTTATTATAAGGGATTGATAAAAGAGTGGATGATTAGCTTTTTGAGTATTGGATTTGGCACAAATCCCCAAAAGCTATCTCCTTTTGTTATTTTTTGAGTTAAAGATGAATAATGCAACCATGCTCCACTTTTTGCTATTTACAAACCTAAAGAAAAAGTGACCTATTTAGAAACTATCACAATAATTTTAAAATAAGTTAATTTGGAGTAGGGATGGTAAAAAAACTGAGCCAGTCACTCTGAACTAGATGAGCCGACTTGAAAAGTTCCAACTTGAAGAATAAAAAAGAAAAAAAAATTCCAAATTTGCAAAAAATTCGCCTAGAATTGGCATACGTCTTGGATGTAAGCAGGAAAATTAAAATTTTAATTCCGCTGCCGGGATTCGAACCCGGAATGCATATCCGAGCGATTTGAAAGGCATTTGCCAAAGTGCTACAGCGGATTTATTGAAAATCTATCTCAATTAATGATATAAATATCCAATAAATATGGCAATTTGGATGAGGACAATAATTTTAAAATAAGTCTAATTCTGAATAGGGCTGGTAAATAAAACTGAGCCGATTCGTGAACTCAACGAGGCGACTTGACAAAAGCTCCAACTTGAGGAATTTAAAAAAAAAAAAAAAAAATCGAATTCGAAAAGAGTAGGACAAATTCGCTTAGAACTGAGCGAGTTAACATCACGTAACTCGCCCAATTTCAGAAACCGCCTAGAACAAGGCGGTTTCCACAATTTCAGATTTTTTCTTTTTTCTTTTTGCCAGAGTGCTACAGCGGATTAGTTAAATATCTTTCTCAATTAAAACTAAAATTCGTAACATTACCTTAATTCATACATTTTGCTGCATATTTCTTATATACTGTTGAAACTCTTGATTTATGATATGAAAATTGACGAAATGGTCTTGCAAGGGATGAACTAATTGTTGGAGCAAGTGAACTTATATTAATTATCCCAAATTTGAATTTCGTTACCAACAGTCACTAGGCCGAGTTTGTCGCAAATAGTTAACTTAGTGTTAGTTTACGTCTCTCGTATGGTTTGCAAATTATTATACGAGAATATAATTTTGGCTGCGGATTCCTTCATTAAAAAAAAACAATATTAAATTATTAATTATCAATATGATAAAGCAAAAGTAGGAGTCATTGTCCATAATAAAACCTATAGAAAACAACACCATTAAGAAAATGCAATTCTTGGTACATCTCTAATTTCATTTAATTAATGTACTATAAATTATAATTGTTAACTTTTAATTTTTTTTAATCAATAATTGGTGTTATAAATTGATTCAAAAGAAAAGTACAAATAGGAAACGACACGATATGACATTAGAAAATAGTTAATTAGAAAGGGGTACCCATAGTTTTATCGTACTCCAAATTTGGATTATTTAGCAAAATGTTTGTACAATGGCCCCACTACATTGATTTGGTTTAGTCAATTTGGAATAATAATGTGACCACCTAAATTTAGGGGCCAAAACACACACACACACACACACTTATAGTATATATTTCTTTGTATTAATTTCTTAAGATGTGTTCAAA